TGCCCCACACTACGCGTGTAGGAACACCCCTCCCAGGGCAGCCAATGCCCAATCAGAAGGATTTGCAGGGCAGACAAACCCCCTCCCTTGCATCCTCCTCATCCGGGGGGATAAGCCAGAGGAGCCCGCAGCAGAAGACATCTCTAGCTCCTCGCCCCCCAGGGCCTCTGGCAGGCAGGAGGCTGGCGCACCAGAGCTCCAGAAAGCAGCATCCCCCTGCCAGGCCACAAGCTGATTCCAGGGCAGGGAGCAGTACTCACTGGGGGCGGCAGGTAGCACAGGTGAGAAACGCTGGAACTGCATGCAGCTGCCAGACATCCCCACGTGCAGGCAGACCCGGCTCCCACAGGCACAGATTGCCCAGCTCAGAGACAGGGAGGCCAGGGCACGGCCCACAGCGCCATTCCTCGAGCTCCAGCTCGGGACCTGGCTGGCCCTCCGCAGGGAGCGCTAATCAGCGGAGAGGAACCAGCGCCTGCGACTCAGCGTGCTCTCTTCCAGGGCACAGGCAGCCCAGAGAGGGCCAGGGGAGCGGGCGAGCAGAACCACAAGTCCACAGGCTTCATCTTCTTGAGGACCTTTGCTCAGTGTCACAGCTGCCCGACGGGTCTCACTGACAAAGGTCCTGTTGGCCAACAGCAGGTTGACCGGGCGATTCCTTTGGGTCTTTTAGCTGGAGGAGGAGCAAGCACAGTCTCTTCTGCAGCACAGTACTAACGGACAACCGCAGGGAGAAGACACGTTGGGGAGAGAAAGAGCTCAACCCTCAGAGACCAGGGGTCTGCAGCAGTGTGGAACTGGCCCGCAAACACAGCGGCTCTCCGCACCACCATGCCAGAGCAATCGGTCCCTCCGCAGGGCAAAGCGCATCCATGGGCGGGAGTGGGAGAAAGGGCGTGTTGCCCAGCGAGGAGAGAGGCTGGAAGCAGGCAGGGCTCCTCTACTCACCTGTTCGTGCTGGGCAGCTGGTGGGAGGCAGGAGGAGGGATGAGCGAAGTACTGCAGTGCCCATTGCAGGGATGAGTGCAGCCCGACAGTGGAGGCGGCATCTTCAGCAGCGGCACGTTGGCAGGGGGCAGGTGAGGGCTCTTACACGACCCTGGGCTGTGTGAGACCGCGCCAGCGGGAGGGGACTCGGACGCCAGCTTCGGGGCTGCCGCCTGTGCGCTGGGCGCAGGGAAGAGTGCAGCCTGTGGGGAGGTGCCCAGTGGGACGTGGGGAGGGGAGCCGAAGGGCCCCGGATGGGCAGGCGTCTGCTTGGAGGGGATCAGCGCTGGCGGCTGTGAGGGGAGGCCAGTGGGACTGTTGGGAGGAGCAGTGAGGTCCGAGTGCTGATGATGCTCTGAGGAGTGGAAGGCCTCACCTGCAGAGGGGCAGGAGCAGAGCTGGTCAGACATGGGCTGTCCCACGTGGGCCAGGGCCAGGCTCGGAGCCACCCACCACCTCTGAACAGGTTGCTTCTCCATGGGACAAACCCTGCCTTCCCCCAGGCAGCAGGGTGCTCAGGCTAGAAGCCATCCCCGCTCACAAGGGACCTCGGCGGCACCCCATCTTCCCCACAGGATTCATCCCTGCCCCACAGAGAGCAGAGCAAGGGGAAGATGCTTGGGGCAGCAAGGGCTGCATGGAGCAGCGGGCTGGGAGGAGAAGGCCGGCCCTGCCCCTGGGCACGCACCTGGCGGGGTGGCCCTCCGGCACATGCTTTTGAACTGCTTCGGCAGCGTCTTGCAGAAGTCGAGTGAGGTAGGCAGAGGTGAGCCTGGGGCAGCGCTGCTGGAGGTGGGGGAGGCTGCGTGGCTGTAGGGACAGGCCTTGAGCCCCGGCGCCACGGCAGGCGCCTGGCTGGCGCGCTCCGGAGAGAGAGCGAGGCCGGGGTGCTTGTCGCCTGGAAGGAAAGTGGAGCTAAGGCCGGCTCCCAGCACCCTCTGCCTTTACAAAGGGACCCAGGCATGCTGCTGGCATGGGCATTCAGAGGCCTGGCCTGCCCACCCCTGCCCACCAGTTGGGTGCCCACAAGGAAACCAGCTAAGCCAAGGACCGGGAAGAAAGCTCTGCTCAACCCCACGGCCAGCTTCAACTCACCTAGTGCAGCAGGGGGGACCCCGAGAGGGCTGCCCTGTGCGGCCCCATTGGTGTGCTGCGAGTTCCAGAGGCCCGAGAGCTTGTGAGCAGACAAGAAAGAGCTGGGGTCCCAGTCCCCTGAGTTCCCGTGGCACGAGGAGGAAGAAGAGGAGGAGGAGGAGGAAGAGGAGTGGGAGCCACCCCCACAAGACTGCGACTTGCAGGATGTGTGGGATAACGAGACCTGGCAAGGAAAACACAGAATGAAGCAGCAGCGGGCTGGGAGGGGAGGCCCTTGGCCCCAGGGCATCCGCACCAAGACCCCCTCCACTGCCCTGAGGCAGGGGCTCAGCACACAGTAACCACTTCTGTCACTGTCTCGGGGGTGGCAACCAGCCCGACTGTCCAACAGCAACACAGCCCGGCTCCCAGGATGGCCAGGCTGTGCCAAGGACCACAGGCGTGCTCTGGTCCCGCTCAAACCAGGCCAGGGTTAAATAAAGCCAAACAAGAGGGAGCTTCTCTTCCCCTGAGCTCCATGCATGGGCAGGCACACACTGCTGCTCTGGGGAGACCCAGTGTAATGGCAGAGAGCAGCCTTGGGGTGGGGGGGACGCGGCACAATGCACAGTGGAGCTGGGTTGGCAGGGAAGCAGCAGCACTGCCAGCCTTGCCAGGCAGGCAGCTCCAACCCAACACAGGTTGCCGGACAAGCCTCCATGGCGCCATGCTTGCCCCACTGCGGTCTCACTCTGAGGAGTCACAGCAGTCCTGGGGAGGGCAGCGTGGCTGCAGGGAGCAGCAAGGCTGGGATGTCTGAGGCACTCAGCTCTTGAGCAAGGAGGGGACCCACGCACCGAGCCAGCACCATAGGGTGGTCAACACTGCAGTCCTGGGAGCTACAGCCCTGGCCTTTCCAACCCCAGCTCCACAACTGCTTACCGC